CAAGACCAACACATTTATTATTATAAACAATCTGACATTTGTCATTATCAAAATGGCAATCATATCCATCGTCATTTAAATGTGAAACACTTATTAAGTTTCTTCGCAAAGAGGGTAAAAATAGAACATCTGAAAGCTTAAGTAGAAAACCATCAACTAATTCTAGAGAAAGATCTCCAATGGCTTCAACTTGAGCTTCAACTCCATTTGCTACTCTAATTCTTCTTTCTCCTCTTTGCAGGGTCCTCCTCGTACATAATCCCTGTAATGAATTTGCAACATAAACAGTTGCACCTGAATCAATCCACCAAGTAGATTTTGCATAACTTAAATACAGGGATTCATCTATGAATGTAATGAAATCCTCACCTCTTTTTAGAAGGTTCTTCAGGAAGTCTGGACAATCTCTCTGGTAGTGTCCATGCTTCTTGCACCATTTACACCGATCCTTTTCAACTTGAGCATTGTTGTTCTTCTGATGGTGCTCAGTCTGAGGGGCTTTTCCTTGAGGTTTGACATTCTTATTGAAGTTCTTTTTCTTGTCCTTCACAAGGTTAGCAGAGTCACCCTGTAAGGACTTCAGCCTTTCCTCTTCTTGAACACACATTGCGATGAGCTTCTCTATGTCCCACTTGTCAGGCTGCATGTTGTAGTTAACAACAAAGGTTTCATATTCCTTTGGCAAGGAAGCAAAAACCAGATGAATTAGGAACTCATCCTTGAGCCTCAAATCCATTGGCTTCAGCTTTGATGTCGTGTTGCTCATTTTCAATATGTGCTCCCTGATATCGTCACCAGTATATTTTTTATTGAACAATTTCTTGATCAATGTACTAGCATAAGCCTTTGAGGAGCCAGTGAACTGACTCTCCACCTTCTTTAGGTACTCCGTGGCGGTATCACAGTCTAGAATAGACCCCCTTATAGCATCTGAAATAGTGAACTTGGCCACCATCAAGCACTTGCGGTTCGAGATGTCCCACTTCTTCTAATCAAGATCGTATTTCATTCTAACTTCCACATGATCTCGCTGCCGAGCAGTGAAATCAGCATCAGTCTCGTTTTCTGTCCTCACCGGGTCCACTGGCTCAGTAGGACACGGGAAGGTAAACGCTAAGTCATTCTCGGACAGCGCAAGTGCGAGCTCATACTTCTCTCGCCATACTCTGTAATTGCCCCCTTCTAGAGGTGGTATGTGCGAGATAAATGCTATTGGGTTGAGTCCTGAAAAACACCATCAGAGATAGTGAGAAAATATGACATTATAATTGCATGCTTTAATTTAACGTTGGTCAAAATTAAAACATACAATATTCTTATACACTAATTCTACATTACCGTTGGACAGAAATAGAATTAATGCATGAAAAACTTATGATTAAACATTATGATATTGCTATTATCAACGTTGGTCAGAAAGAATAACAATATTATAATTTACTGATTAAAAATTGACTATTCTTCAAATTAAATTCTCCTGTTGGTTCAAATTTAATTAGAAGATTATTAACTTTAATATTGCAGCGGAAACATGAGTAAATAATTATTATCTACTTTTTAGAAGTATTTTCTTGTTCATATCTACTTTCTGGAAAAAAATAACTAGTTGGTGTAATTTTACCAGGAATTTTAAACCTTTGAAAATTCATCAAAATTCATTCAAAACTGCTTCTGAAAATTAATTAAACTTCAAAAGTTATTTACTGGTCATTCTAGCCCGGTCTGCAGCAGCAGTAAGCAGCCCAGCAGCGACAGTACTCGGCCCGGCCTGCAGCAGCAGCACGCGCGCGCGCTCGCGGCACCTCCCCCGCGCCCAGGCCGGCAAAGTCGCCCGCCGCGCTCGTCCGCCTAGGCCGATTTCGGTCCGATGACGTTCCAGTCGTTGGATGAAATCCGACGGCCGTCCGCACGCGTTGCCAGATCAAAACGGCGACCTCAGCGGCTCCGCTGAAACCCTAACGCCATTCTCTTCTGCCATTTCTCTCTCTTCGCCTCGCTCTTTTCTCTCCTCAGCGCAGCAGCAGCGAGCGACCGAGCGAAGACGAGAGCGAAGATGGCGCCGTCGCCAGTCCCCTCGCCGGCGTGCGCGCTCCCTAGCGGGTGAGCACGCCGCCGTCGAGCGGTCTGGGCGGCGGTGCCCTCATCCCCACGTGCGCTGCGGTGAGGAGCTTCCGAAACCCTAGATCTGACCCGGCCGCTTCTCCTCCTTCTCTCTCTCAGACCCGCAACTCGCAGCAGCGGCGACCGAGCGAAGGGAGAGACCATGGCACCGTTGCCGGCCTCCTCACCGGATTTGTTGCTGAGCTTTGTGTACTTGAACAGGTCAAGCAAAAACTAAAAGGACAGAAAGGCAGAGATGAGCAACGGATCCTGCTTCATGGCCTGAAACTGGGATTCGGTAACAAAGACGCTACAAGGGAAAATCTCATCACAGGATTTGGGGACATGAATCCGGCAGAAAAACTTGTGATGCTCCAAAAGGGAAATGGCTGTTGCAGCCGCGTCGCTGACTGCCTCTGCTGCATGTGCTGCATCAAGGCGTGCAACAGGATGAACGACCAGTGCGCCATTCTGATGGCACAGATCTGCGCGGCTCTAGCGTGCCTTGGCTGCTACGAGTGCTGTGCGGAGGTGTGCTGCGGAGGGTCAGAGTCGTAGTAGGAAGTAGGGGAGCTCCGGGCGTTGTGTTTTGTATATTGTATGGAAGATTGGAGATTTGGAGTGTACATAATAGAGTTTGCGGAAGCCGGGTTGTGGGGCGAGGATGAGATACAATATATCAGCTTAGATCGACGAGGATCGATCTTGGTTGTACATTGTGTCCGTTCAAACGTTCTAATTTGCTCTTGTTACATGCAATGCAAAAGGGCCACACACTCGAGTAGTACTTGTTTCTGAATATCTGCCTGTTCAATGTTGGGAGTTGATGGGGCTGTTTGATTCCCAGTCACGGCCAGCCACGCCGCTGGTGCGGCGTCGCACGCAGGTTGTGGCCTTAAAAGTCGGCGCCCAAGTCTTAGGCAGAAAAATGACTAGCAAACGCAATGGCTGACATAATTTTCATATACAAACCAAACAACGGCGATATTCTCTGTGGCTGCTGTAAGTTGGCCCGATGATTTAGTTTGGCAACTGGGAACCAGCCGTACCTCCTGAATTTGATGCTGAATATCTGATCAGGAGGGTCACTCGGGAAACTGCAAAGCCCGTCTACAGTCTACAGAGAAGTGCAAGTTGCCTTGCCAAATAGTAGAATGCAGTTGAAGTACATGCTAGAGAAAAAGAAGCTCCGTAATTGTGCAAGTGGCGAAGCTACAGCAAATCTGAGGGAGGTGCGGCTGCCTTGCAGATGCGTAGACTTGAGTCATAATCATGATGAAAAATTTAACTTTATCCACTGATATTCAAAATTTCTATGGGTGCATCCGCATCTACAACACTGCATGTAGCTTCGCCACTGATTGTGGCCAAATGGCCTTAAACATGTACTTATTTTGCATCTACTACTGTATAAAGAAAGAGTGGATGCCCATGCACATGCAGGCAGCTGCAGCTGCAGCCTATGCAGGCGTGCGCCACCTCTGGGACTGGGATCTCGGGCAGCTAATGGGAGGCCGTCCGTGCGATGCGAGAGCCGGGACAAGTGTCACGACAGCGTGCACGGCCAGGGCAACCCGCGTCGGGCTGACACCTGTTTGTTTTTAAAAAGAAAAGAAAAGAAAAGAAAGGAAGATATTGCTTCATTGTAGATATGGTTTCCCCAGCATGGGTGTTAGACTCCCACAATAATCCCATAACCAGAAAGAAAATACTAAGAAGTTTCGATCAAGGAAATAAAATAAGATTTTTCTACAATGCTTATTTTGGTGAAGTCAAATTACAATTTTATTTTCTAACTGTATGTGGGCATTTTGTCTGTATCGTACTTTAAAAAAGTTGCTCTAATTAATGTCCATGATTCGCCTCGGCAGGTGTAAGAAACTCCCACATTGATCCCAGAATAACCAGAAAGGAGGTGCTATGAACTTTCTTATTACTGATCGAGAAAATAAAATAAAATAAAAAAGTCGCCCAGTAATACTAACATATTCTCTACGCTACTTCACTCAAGTAGCTAGTAAAATAAAATTAATTAACATCCCATGTACATGTAAGAACGTAACTGGATGCGACTGTGCAATTTGGCCACTACCATCAATCTAGGTAGCCATGGGTTTAGCCTCCCTAACCCTATTTATTTCAGTGGGGAGGGGACCCTGGTTGCATCCAAAGCCACTCTACTCTCTTTTCTTTCACTGCATGCTTAGCTTCTCTCTGCTCCCTGGAAACCTCCCAATGAATATGTAGCGGATGCATATAGCCAAGTCGGCGGCGTCCTGATTGACCAATCACAGGACACCTTCATGATAGAGTTAAAGCAGGATCTCTAGGCATAAATCTAGCATGTCTACTTACACTTGGAATAAACCGTGAGTCCTAGAAGCATCTACTAGTACTGGATTAATAAATAGAGTGAGAAAGAGAGGGGTGAGGTGCAAACCATCGGCCGCCTTGGAGGAAGACGGGCTCGCCATCGCGGTGCTTGGTGAAGTCCCAGTGACGGTGCTGTGTCGAAGGACGGCGGTGCAGTGGCAGCGTTGGCCGGTGGCGGTGCATCCCGTCGCTGGCAGCGCCCCCTCTGTGATCGGTTAGGGTTTAGGACTGTAGGTGGGGTGCTAGGCTGCTCAAGCGAACCTCGTGCTCGGCGCCCGGACCCCACCTTCTATTTATGGCGCTGTGCGACGGGGGCCCACCAACCATATTAGGGTTAGACTCCCCCGATCAGGGCGCAGATCCAAAGGCCCAATTAACCATTGAGAAATAACGCTTCAAAACCCTGGAACCGATCGAGCTTCTGTTGCCTCCCACTCCCAGCCGCTCTTGCAGACTGTCACACTCTGCTGTGCTCGGATATTCACACACTACTGCTAATTCTTCTCCCGGAGCAGTACGTACAAGATATGGGGGTAATTAAATTCCACTTTCCACTGAAAGCTAGCTTTTGGTTTTCATCCACTGACAGCTATTCTTCGATGTGTTCTTTTCTAGCTAGTGTACGTTCCGCGGTTAATTTTGCATTGTCTGCACCCTGCAGATCATTAACTGGATGCAGAATCGCTTCAATAATGGTAAACATGAGAAGAGGCGACCCGAGGACGCCGCCATTAGCTCAGCTCGCGGTGAGTGATTCCTTTCGTACGTGCGTTCTTCTTAGCTTCGTGCTGACGAACGAACTGGCGGCTCTTGCATGGCATGCATGATGCTGCATTTCTACGTCAGAAAGCTGCCGCCAAGACCACGCGTGCGAGGGCAAGATCTCCAACGGCGACTGGCCGCCACAGGGCCTCCTCTCGATCGGGACACTGGGCGACGACCCACCGCCGGCGGCGGGGGATGGAGGTGGAGGGCCGCCGCGCGCGTCGCAGGCCGACGTGCTGGACTTCACCATCGAGGAGGTGAAGAAGCTGCAGGACGCGCTGAACAAGCTGCTCCGGCGCGCCAAGTCCAAGTCCAGCTCATCCCGCGGGTCGGGCGCCACCGACGAGGACCGCGCCAGCCAGCTGCCGCTCGACAGGTTCCTCAACTGCCCCTCCAGCCTCGAGGTCGACCGGAGGATCTCCCTGAGGCACGCCGCGGGCGACAGTGGTGACGAGAACGGCGAGGCGTTCTCGCCGGACACGCAGATCATACTGAGCAAGGCCAGGGATCTCCTCGTCAACAGTAACGGCACCACCATCAAGAAGAAGTCGTTCAAGTTCCTCCTAAAGAAGATGTTCGTCTGCCATGGCGGCTTCGCCCCCGCACCGAGCTTGAAGGATCCAGTTGAATCAAGGATGGAGAAGGTACCTGTGTTATATTAGCAACGCACATGAAATATATATGTCTGAGTTCATGTCTTGTCACCAGACAAAGTTTAAACGCTAATATATATGGTTCTCTCCTGTTTTTGAGTGCACACACAGTTGTTCAGAACGATGCTTCAGAAGAAGATGAATGCTCGCCCGAGCAATGCTGCAGTGTCATCCAGGAAGTACTACCTCGATGACAAACCGAGTGGGAGGAGGATGATACGGGATGGTCGCCACGATGAAGAGGATGATGAAAAGGGCTCTGACAGAATCAAGTGGGATAAAACTGATACTGACTGTAAGAACATATATGCTTTCAAGTTTCAACCACACTATGCACACGGTTAAATAACAATGCATATGGAAACTTATTTATGCGATGAGCTCTGCCAGTAATGATCATGGATCACTGAATGAAATTTCTTGGGTTTTGCAGTCATTGTTCTGGAGATCTAGATCAAGAAGCTCGAGTTCAAGGTCATTGTGGTATTCAATGTGGTAAGCTACAACACTGCAATTAAAAGTATAAATTTCCTGTCAAAGTTGTATGATACGATGACCGTTTTTTTTTTGTAGGTTCATTGCTGGTGCTAAAATTTGCGTGGTTTGATCTTTATTTCGCAGCTTATGAGTGATGGCCTTGACTCAGAAGACAAATCCCATTAGAATGGTCGGTGCAACAATAATCCCTAGTGAAGGAATATTCAGTTGAATGGCAAATCGATCAGACGGGATATATATACCTAATGCACCAGGGTGTAATATACTGAATGAAGATCACAATTCACACGTACATTGGCGGGCTTGTTCAAGCGCCACAATGGAGATGTTCATAGGAAGAATTCTCAGCTTTGTACTTTCCTTTTCCATCTCATCTTCAGATGCCAGATATGTTAATGTTCCATGTATATACTATCCTACGTATTGTAGTTCTTTCTCATCCTGTGGGCTAATTAAGAGAAGTGATTTCAGTTAGTGAGAACGTAACCCTGATGATAAATTCTTATTCAATTGTGACCCCATCTCAATAACATGGCATTCCTCATGAAGCATATGATTGCGTGAAATTTATATATATATATACCCGGAGTCCTGAGTGTGCAGAAGTAGCATTGCAAGTTGGGTGCTTGGAACATGGTCATTGCCGAAACCTGAAAGCTAGGCTGGACCTGAAAATACATCCGAAATCTCCATTGGCCGTCAGGATCAGAGGCAGCTCCCCGGCAGATTTGTGTGTGTTCGTGTACAATTGTGGGGAAAAAGGCGCCAAGGAGTGAGTGCCAAGCAACATTGTATTGGCAGATGCCGATGTGTGCCATTGAATATATATGTGCCTGCTCACTACTCACTGTAATCATATGTATATTGTCACCGACGGCACGGCGACGACCACTGCTGATGGCGAGATCACTGAACCTGATGAAGGCAAAGAAGGGGAAGCAATCTCTGAAGGAGAGCTGGCGGGAAGGAAACCAGGAGCCAAACGTACGAAGAAGCCCAGTAGTCGAACCTTTGGACCGAACTGGATCAACTAAACGGACCCTGCGTGGCCCAGATACGAAGGCAGCCCATCGTGGCCTCCTTTTGTAAGCAAACACCGGAGCCGTGAAGGACTGGAACAGGGAACTAGAAACCTGACCGTGCCCGAGGGCGATGGTGGTGGCGGCGGCGTTCGGCGATCTCGTTGATCGGCCGACGACGACCGAGTTTTCACACAAATACACTATCATACTATAGTTGATTTATCATAGTCCGGTTACATATATCTATAGATATTTCCAGGCTTGCAGATACACTACAGCAGTAGTAGTATAGTAGTAGATAGATATAATACGGTGGTAGCAATACTTCTAACTTGATAGAGATGGTTCCTGAGGATCTCCACTCTCTAGAGACATCAGGTCTTTGAGGATCCTAGGGATCCACAAGATAAAAAGGTTTCCATCGAAAGCTAGACGACCTATTGTTTAGTTGAGCTCAAAGCTCATGCATTTCTTTTGTCCCTGGCTGTGCAAGAATGTTTGGGCAGGGTAGAGACACCTATCGTTGGTGCATGGATGGATCGATCGATGCATAAAAGCTATTGGAAAATGGGCGAATTGTGGTGTTCTAGGAGAGCCCAGAAGCTGCCGCGATGTGGTCCTGAATCGCGTGTCGCTTTTGATTAAAAAAAAAGAATGGCTAGCTAATAGGAGTACGGAGTACCTCCTTTTTTTCTCTTGTATTTTTTTTTTTGAATGTGAATCTAGCAAATAGTCAACTCTGAGTGTGTCGTATCTTCGGTGAAATCGGCATGATATTCAGATAAGATCACAGGCAGCTTATCACTATCACCCTGGGAACTAGATGACCCATTTGGCGATTCAGATGTCGACTGACTGGCTTGACTGCCAGAGAATGGCATGCTCAAGATTTTGCAGAGGATCTGGATCTGTCGGAGCGAGTTCTTTGTGCTGCAGATTTGGTCCTAATAATGTTTACTCGTGAATTTGAATCAGTTTTTAGGCGTAGGTTAATCCTAATAATGTTTCCTCATGAATTTGAATCAGTTTTTAGGCGTAAGCTTGAGGCTTCTAATTGATACAGAGGGTAAATGGTTCGAGTATAACAATGTATCTAAACCATATGATGCATTCATGGGGTTCCAACTACTGAATACGCTTGCATGGCCTCAGAACTCAGAAGGATGAATATTTCCAGCAATATCTGCGGTGAATCAGCGAGATAATCTAGATGAGATCGCGCAGCTATATCACTATGGGAATTGGAACAGGTTGGGATTCAGATGTTGACGTCGGACTCGTAGTAAGAGGATGTGTATGTTGACTCGAACCAGTTGTTCCTCAGCTACTCTCTCGCTTCCAAATTATAAGTCGCTTTAGCTTCTCGCTTTCAAATTATAAGTCGCTTTAGCTTTTTTTATATATATTTATTTTGCTATGGATCTAGATATACCGATACATAACAAATTCTAAGTAAAAAAAAGTCAAAACATCCTGTAATTTGAAACAGAGAGATGATAGACTAGTAGCCATTCAGAGCTTGCGTTTGTCAACTCTGATCAGATCTCAACAGGCAGATGACTGGGAGGCAAGAAAGCCCAATGACCCAGTCCCTGCACTGCACCAGAGCTACCGCAGCGAAGCAGCTGATGCCACGAGACGAGGTGCTACCGCACCGTTGTCGCCAGCACTACATCTTCGGCTATTCCTATTCGTCATGGAGACTATTGCTAACGGAACAAAGTAACCGTCGTTGGCCACAGCCTGCGAGCTTGGGCGATCGGGAAGCCTGCACGAGCGCACGGCAGGGGAGACGAACATGTCAGCAACAGCTCCGCCACGCGCGATGCCACCTCCAACCAGCCAGACCAGGGCTCTATGCTTCCGATCACACAAAGCTTGCAACACCGCCGATGCAAAAAAAATAGAGGAACCACCCCAGCGTGTGCAAAAATAAAGGAACTACAAGCAACGTAACAGAAATCCACCCACACGGTGTTTCGAATTAAAGCAAATTAACTCTGGTACTGGTACATCCGACTCGACTTGGATCCAAAAACCTCACGGCAATATCACTAGCCACACAAAGCAGACACAGAACTATGGGCTGGTGCATTGCCCACCAACCACCACCGCCACCACCACAAGGAAATTTCTGCAACAACAGGATTGATCAAAAGTTACAAACACATCGAAAGCAGAAAAGTTTTGAGTAATAACTACAAACTGGACAGGGCGATATTATAATGAGTAGGTTAAAGCAAGATCCTAGTTATGCTACTGCAGCTGTAAGTATCAAGTGCTGAATGACTTACAGATCTTGTTGAAGGCGACAATGTCGCAGCTCTGGACGTACTCGCTAATTGGCTCAGCGCAGAGATGGTCCTCAATGAGAGTGTCGACAGAGACGAGGTCGTCGACAATGGTCATCATGATTTGCAGCTTCTTGATGCCATATCCAACTGGGACTAGCTTGGCTGCAAAGGACAGTAAATGATTATGTCAGACATCATACTAAATGGTAAAACAATTGTGCGATTCACTAAATTATGTGCAGAAAACTGAGGTAACATACATGCACCCCAGAGCAGTCCTTCCATCTGGACACTCCTAACAGCTTCCTCGAGCTTGGCCATGTCGGTCTCATCGTCCCATGGCTTCACATCAAGTAAAACTGACGACTTCCCAGCTGACAAGGTATGGAAAGGTTAGAACCATGCTTTAAGTTTTTGGGTATGAAAACAAAGCCACGACAACAATATAGCAGTAGCAAGGATGTCTTTATAGTAAGGTGGCAAGACAGAGTGTGATGAGAGAATAAAACAGAAAAATATGCACGTTGACATACATTCTTTCTTCTTGCCAGAAGCCTTGGCAGCCACAGCACGCTCTTCAGCAGCCTTCTTCTCCTCTTCAGTCTCCTCACCAAAAAGGTCAACATCATCATCATCGTCCTCATCAGCAGCTGGGGCCTGCGGTTATTAGAAAATGCTCTTCAGTGACTAAACTGAGTAACTCCGAAGTTCCTATTTATGATATTGAACCACATGGTTGATAACTTTAGAAAACAATAATAATTCAAACCAGCGATCAGCACAAACTATGTGAGCATATAAAACTACTAACAATTTTCAGCCAAAAAATCGCAAAGAATAGCATATAACACTTAAATTCATTTATTACGTTTTCAGCCAAAATTGAAGTTAAGAAATTATACCTCAGCAACATCAGGAGTTGAGGCTGAAGGAACTGCTGATGACTCAACCTTGACACCTAGGCCCTCTGCAGTAACTCCACTGAAATTGTATGGATTATTAGCTCGCTCACGCCGCTAACAGGATACCTAGTAGGAAATATAAAGGCCGAGAAGAAGGGCATACCTCAGCCTCAGGAGTGCATCAATGTGACAAAACCACCTTGCTACGTTGATATACTTGGATGAGGGAGCAGCCGAAAATGAAGAGTAGACAGCCAGGTCATCCTTGGAAGCTTGGTAGCTAGAGACAGATTAATGCATCATAAGTTCGGTACAAAGGTTATAGCCATTCTGCAAACAGAGTAGCTCGAATCACATACCCAGTGATGTAGCTGCGAGTGAGAAGGTACTCATCAAGCTTTTTCAGCCCTGCCTCAGAGTTGACGTTTGCGAAAGAAACCGCCATCTCCCCACGAGAAAGATTAACAAGTGATCTGGCGGCACATATGAGGGTGGTGTTAGAAACACTTGAAATGTCTAATCATGACAACAGTTAAACAGGCATTCAATGAACAGAGAACAATGATGCTACTATAGTACAGTAAAGTAGAATCCAATCCAAATCCTTAAACAACTCATAGCTATTAGATCTAATAACGAGCACCCTGAACCCAAATCCAAACCAAAGCTATGTTTCTGAAGTATCCAAAACAGAGCTAAGTGTCATAGATTAATTCAGAGCTCAGGTAACAACTTAT